TTCAAAACTATAGGAAATCTACATTGGTATTCTTCGAGTGATTGTGAAATTTCAAGATTTTGTTTTTTTTACGAACTTCAGAACGTGCTTTTCAAACACATAATCCAATACTTCTCCTACTCTTTTTGGATTTTCATTTAAAAGATTACTAATTGAAAGTTTTTCCTTTAACTTTCTTATATTTATGTTTCCTATTCGTAATAAAGTCTTAACTAAAAATAAACTTAAAGGTATTTCATTAATTCTATTATCATTATTATTATTGTTATCATCATTTTGTTTTACATTTTCAAAGATTTTACTAATAATTGTACTAATTTCTATTAATAAACTATTTTTAATTCTATCATTAGTTGAATTGGCTACATCTAAGATCCATTTACCTAATAATTTTAATGCATTTGTAGTATCATGAATAGTATTTTCATGATATGAAAAAGCTTTTGATCCACTTCCTCTTCATTCAAAAAAAAGTTTTCCTTCTTTTTGAAAACATTCTGAGCATAACGTGCATTCTTATTTATACTAGCTTCTTTAACAATCCTATCATTTTTAAAACTTGAACAAACTTGAAGTCCTACACATGACACCTACACATTTCGATCATTAATGCTTATTAAGTGTTCTGCACAATTTTTGTCACAACTAAAAAAATATTTGTCTTTATAACAAAAAAGACAACAATGTCGACAAATGTAATCTTTACCTACTGACCGTAATTTCACAAGGTCGAAGTTAGAAAGATAAAACTCCCGTGTTAGTAATAGTCGAAGGAGGTAGTAATTTGCGTTTTGAATTTTTCTTATGTAATCTATTTTGATCAAAAGACAAATATGCCATGCAAACATCTAAAGTATGTAGCATACTTTCAGGGTTTGTTTGATTTATTATAGCTTCATCGATCTCCCATGTTCCTATTAATTGATGAAGATGACGGAGAGCATGTCCTGGTTTTTTATAATTTGGACAATGTTTTACTTATCCATCAAATACATCAACTAGAACACATAGAACTAGGTTTTATTTTCTATATCAGCATTGATTATTTGAAAGTCTTTATCTATGTTAGAACTAGCCATTATTAAGACAAAATCTTTTTCAACATCCATATCGATATCTTTCCACGTTATGTCTTCATCATTATATTCACTTAAAGTAACTTTTTCTTTGGCATTTTGAAATGCCTCATGATCAAATAAAAATTCATAGATACAACTATCATCATTGGTAAATGTGGCATGTGTTGAAGGAATTTCGCTTGTATTATCAGAAATAATATAATCATCATTTTCTAGAAACGAATAATCTTTGTCTGGGTCATCACATTCTAACTCACTGCCGATATAATTAGCAAAAGAACCTTTATTCAAAAAACACATATTTTCATTTTCAAAAGGCATGTTAAAAAAAATGATAACAATTTTTAATTTATCGATATGAAAAAGAAGGAAAAAGGTAAATGTAATGGTAACGGTAAAGTTTATTCCCTTTTTCATATTGATATAAAAATACATTATATTGCTGTTCCTTATCGTTATCATTATCATCATTGGGGCATTAAAAACATGTATAATGATAAGTGCCGATATCAATATCAATATCAATATAATTGCTATCACTATGATCGGATCAATATAAGATAAACAAACATCTTAATTAGGTAAACATCTTAATTGGGTAATAATAAAAAAAACGTTAACATTAACTTAACGTTAACGCTACGTTAAAGATCAATTAATAATTAACGTGATAACTAATCATATTTCTTGAATATGACTGATACATTACGAATTAACTGGTTTTTTATCATTAAAAGATTTAATTTTAATATCAGTATAAATATACAGAACACAAATTCTTTCATATTTTTTCCTAACATAAAAATAACACAATATATAACGATAAATTCTCATCGTCGTTAAATTTATTTTCATCATATGAAAATAATGAGTTGAACGCATTATTTTTGAAGTCTAGAATGAGATTGCAAATCTATGATAGGCAAATAAAATTATCATTATTGAAAATCCAAATGAAATTATACAAAAGATTCTTTTTAATCAAATATTTACCATTACAAAAACCAAATTAATTACAATAAACGATTGACGGCGGTTGATCCTCAATATTCCAGGAACAATTTATCCGCATCTACTTAATTTACCAGAGAAAATCCAAAAAAAAATTTATTAGCGTTAGAAAAAAAACTAACCTTTCTAAAATAATTTAAAAATAACTATCAACTTTTTCATACCTGTTATAATGCCTCTTTTGTGCTATCATAAAAGTTAATTTTAAAGGATCCTTTTGATAAATTTTATCAAATGCATTTTTCAATGCAATTTTCACGCTAAATGTAAAAACTTAAGATTCTGGATTCCCGCATGAATTTATCAATTATGATTAAATGGATCACTTCTCGGGTTATCTTTATCAAAAACTTAATTAGGCCTAATTGTAAAAATAATTAATCGACAAATATATTACCAAAAGAACATTGTATGTATTGAATCAATCAAAATTTTGATCCTTTGCCGTGGCGAGTCGAATTGAGGACAAAATTTACATGAATAATTTATCTTGATTAATTGACACCTCCATTTCTAATAGGCTACAAGTATTAAATCTTATAAAGTGAAATGTTTCGATATATTTACACAAATTATTAATATAAATTTATTAAGGTTATTCTCTAATTTCATTTTACGCTTTAAACTGTTTCAAGATGAAACATGCTTAATTAATATGCCAATCAAAAAAAAAAAATATGCAATTATGAAGGTGGCGCGCGTCAACGTCAAAATAAAAAGAAATTTCTTAAAAAATCAAGCCTAAAGTAAAAAAAAAGATTTTTCAATAATTTAAATCAAAAATTATATAATCAGACACAAACTTGAAACGAATTCAAAATTACTTGCTATGTTAATGATAATTACATTTATTTGCGCTTTGATGACATCTGTCAACGCTGGTGGATGTCCAGATACACCACCATTTTGCGACTGTAGATTTGTTTTATTATTTTTAAAAAATGTACTCTTGTGAATTATAATTTAGGTTAATCTTTAAATATTTTGTAGAAACTGAGGTATGCGTCTTTAATCAAAAAACCCAAACATGCTCATGTGCTTGTTGTGACGACCGCGGACTAAATTGCAAACCGAATTATCCAAAGTTAATTTAGTAAATTTATTTCCTCAATTTTTTTGAAAAACAAATAAAATGATGTAGCTAATATGTAGGGATGTTAAACGGTCCCAAATGGTTGTGAACAAATTAAGAAATTACGAGTTATATAAAAGTCTAATCGCTTATCTATAATAAGTAACTAATAATAAATTTTATGAATAACTTATAAAAGAAATATGAACATTGGAATTGACAATTAACATCGGACCGCCAAAGTGGGACCCGGTCCTTAGGACCGGGTCCTAAGTTTCAAAAATTTATATTTTTAATAAATATATCGTCTTTAGAAAGTAAAATATACCGCCAGCAAAATAAAATTCTTCTCTAGAACTGGCAAATTTATTGGGACTTTTAGGACCATTTAACATCCCTAATATGCAATAATTATGGTTAAAATTTTCAGCTTTGACCTAATTTGAAATTTATTTTTTTCTTTATTTTGTTGAGAACGATATAATTGTTCTCTGCACGATACAAGTCTTTTGGAGGAAGTAAGTCTATAAAGAAAATAATATTTTTTTTTTGATTTCTGTTCTCGTTGGATCGACTATGGTTTCATTTAAAATTTTATAAAATTTTGACTACTTCCCCTTAATCATCTAAAAATCTAAAAGTGTAATAATGATAATTAATCACGAGTGAGTCCATCATTTCTAATTCTACTAAAGGTGTAATTAATTAAATTTAAAAAGATATCAAAAAAGGAAATGAAATACGAAATGTGCTGCATTTTCGCCGCTAATAAAGTAAACATAAAATTAATCGATATCGGGTATATATATTTATTCAATCGATTCATTATGCATATATAAAATGCTTAATTGCCATTCCCAAATTCGAAAATTTATTAATTAATCATTTGCTAAATTAATTATTTTTTTTTTTGCATATAGGAAATAAAATTTTTAATTTCTCAAAATATGTTTATATTAATTAATAACTGAAATAATTTCTTTAACATTAAAAATAAATTTATTTTTCTTTATTTTTCTTGAAAATTTTATGATACTCATTCCTAGGTGTCCACGTGATGGTTCAAAATTCGCGCGTGATTTTATTGCTAAATCGTGATTATAATCCCGCTGAAATTAACATAATTTCAGAGTAAAAACATGTGGATGAAAATTTTGATCATGTATCCCAAAAAGTTGTCAAAATTGTGAAACATAGTAACCAACACATCCTAAAATTTAAAAGGTTAAGGCGAATACTTTAAAAAAATATACTAGCTAGTTTTTTTTTGAAAAATATTGTTACATGATTTACGGTAATTTCAAAAAACCACTTTGAATTTCTGGTCATTGTTAATTTGGACTTTTTTTTGCACGATTTACCGAGTCTACTGTAGGCTTACAATCTAAGTTTTCAATGATTATTAAATTTATTTTTTTAAAAAAAAAATGAAAATTTAAAATATTGTTTGACTTAATAGATAAATAAATGTTAATTACCATTTAATTCTCTTAATATAGGGGCATCAGGAGAATCCAAAACTGGTTCTATCATAATGTATTTATTTTTGAGAGTTTAGAAATTAATGACAAGGATTATAGCATAATCTAGTATTTATGTAACTTTTTTTTATCAAAATACTTAATAAGATATACACATCATAGAACCATAAATATATTCTTTATTTCACGGAGTGTAATAAATGAATTAATTCCTTATTAATTCATGTTCATAAAAACAATAGGGATTTAAATAATACTAATATATATTCTTTTATTTATTATTAAAAATTAACAAAGCAGAAAAATTAAAATTAACAGCTAAAAACTCATGATATAAAACTATTCAAGTGACAAGTCTTATACGTTTTCTAATAATCTTACAAATTGAGCATTTGAATTGAATAAATTTCTTCCCATTTCCAAAAACGAAAGATTTATATTTCCTATCCTTGCTTTTTTTTCTAAAAGCCATTGCTGTACATAATTTTTATCAATGTCATTGGGAATAGTCATAAGGTCAGTTTGGCAATCAGGGATACTTTTCATGTAAAAGTGACAGGCGGCAACGATGGCAGGTACTTTATTTCTACACTTGTAATAGTGTAACTTTGTAACCCCGTCATCGCTATTACGAGCGAGGATACTTAGTTCGTTTTGAAGAATGTTGAAGAAACCGGAAATATCAGCTAAAGCTTGAGCAAAGTTGAGAAGTGAAGTCTGGAGGACATCTCGAATAATGAATGTAGCGGCTACAGCCAACTTTGATTCCTCTTCACTTGCAATTGCTTCAACAAGGTCTTCCTTACCACTATACCACAAAATAGGACTCGCGATGAAGTTTACGCCAGGAATAAGTGACAAACCAATCGCCCAGCTTGTCTTAACATTACTTAATTCTCTTAATTGCTTTGCCCGTGCTTTATACCACTCTGTATCTTTTTCAAGTTTTTTCAAAACAATATTTACGTTGTTTTCTTCATTTTTAAAATTGGCAAGAATTTCCTGGTGAAGTAACTTGGTATAGGAAGCCATATCTTGGTTCCTATGAGCACCATTAGCTAAATCCTCGATACATTCCTTGAAATCATCATAGCTTAACGCGGTATAGGTTTCAACAAAATCTTGAATATTTTGAACAACTACGTTCGCAGATGGTAAAATCACCCTGCTGTAGACTGTGGCGTGATTGGTAATTTTACGACGCAGAGCAACGAATTCCTGAACGGATGAAGCATTTGTAACATAGCAACTACGAAGGGACATACAAGCAATTTTAAGGTTATTTGCAGCATTACGTAGGTCCTCACTAAACTTTACAAGTTCAGATTCAGTTACAGTGTGAGTAGACATGTTATTTTGAAAAAATGGATATTAGATTGTTGATTTTTGTAAGGACAAAAATAATAACTTTATATAAGGAAAATTTTCATATCAATTTTTTCTAGATTTTAATTTTTATTTGAAAGGATCAATTGCCAAATTTGTGATAATTGAGGAAAATCAATGGATAAAAATGGAAAAAAGAACAAAGATACAATGAAATTCAGAATTTGTCAAAGTTCGTCTTTCTAAAAAAAAATATTATCTTACCGGTTGAAGGTTGTTAATTTTTATTGCATGCTTGATTTTGTTTTATCTGTGACACAAATTTCCGCCCCAAAGAGAATGGACTCTATTAAACCCAGCATTTTTGAGGAAAGATAAGTCCGGTTGAACAAATTAAGTGGTGGCTAAAAATGTGTTAGGGTGTACAATGTTTATCGCGCAATTTTCCATACAGAATTATATTTTGATTATTCTATAATTGGCTATCGCAGGGTTATATTTTTTGGATGACCAAAAAGTTATTTGTATGAGAAACTTTCCATTTTATGAGAAATTAGTTTGTAAACGAAAAAGACTTTTGAAACAAATTGATAAAATTGTTTTAACAATTAAAAACTTCAATTATAACAAAATTTATCTTAAAATAAATAATATCAAATGTTGTATATTATATTTTCATTAGCATTTGGATGAAAATTAACGTCCGGAAATTTGTTAAAATAGAATCGTACCGAAATCATCCAAAAATAATTTTTTATTTAAAACGTATAAAAATGTACCGAAAATGTGATGTGTAAACTTACTTTATGAAAATTTAATGTAATATAAAACCGACATTTTAAATCTTTCTTGTATTAAAACAAAATTGCAAAGCGATATTAAGTATTATTAAATATAAGCAATAAATATTAATATTCGTTTTCAACCTATAAACAAAAAGAACCGCGCATAATTACCAGTTTTAGATAGTTAACTTGTTAACCGGGGTTAAAAATTCACTTTAAATAAATTTTTTAAAAAGTAAATTTTATATAGAATACAATCAATCGAAACCAAAAAAAAATTGCTCTGGTTACACGAAATTCTTGTTTATTTTGCTTATATTGCTTGCTTCAATCGTATTTAAATATTAAAATTATCTGATCAAGTCTTTTATATATTTTATATAACGATTATATATAAAATTTAGGTAAGATTAAATTTAAAAATTTGCTTGATACTAACTGAATTCGGGTTTCAAGATTTAGTTTCGGATAGTTTTCATTTGGGAAAATTTCTATTAGCAAATTTAAACTAAGCAATTGAAAGAATTTAATGTTAGTATATATTTTCCGTTGAAAGCATGGCATGTTTCATGTATTGTCACAAGGAAATCTAGCTGCGCCGTATGACGACAATATTCGTCATTTCTTGCAGTTCTGTATCTGACATTTCGGGCTTTAAGATATTTTTAAAAAAATCTCAAAGTCCTAAGAAGGAGAAATAAGATTCCGAAAAATATGTATACGAAATATATGTATGAATAGGGGGTAGGATCCACTATTGCGTATCAAAGAGGAATTATGAAGTTAGATTTGGATTTGCGTATTTTTTTATTAATGTTATGTTATTAGAATTTTAACAGTTTTTTTAAAATAAAAAGTTTGATTTGCGTATTTTAGGATAAATTTGGCAGATCATATATGGGGGGTTAGAATATCACCGAACTGCGAAGCAGTTCGGAGTATATTTTAACCCCCTGCAGTCGCACATGATTATACTTTTAAATAAATAAACTATTATTATATTATGTTTTGTATTATACAATTGTAGTATATTTATAGCTTAATATAAAAATATCAGCATGTTTGATCCTATTTGGCTGTAGGATAATAATTATAATAAACAATAACTAGTTGATCTGCATAGATATCTTATAGATTAGTCTTTTTTTCATTTTCTTAATTTATGATAAATTATGAGTAGAAAATATTGTTTCAAAGACTTTCAAAGAATAAATTATATATCCAAAAAATGTAATATGTATTTGTTGTAAAATAATAAAATTCAACAGAAAGTGGAAAAAAGACTATCTTGATCATCATATGGGAGCTTTGCAGTAAAAAGGAACGAAACTCTAAAAAGTTTTTTTTGAGTTAATGTTAAATCTGTACTTATTTTACTAAAAAAATCATAATTAACTTAGAAAATAAAATTTTAATTTTTTTAGAGTTTCCTCCCATTTTACTGCAAAGCTCCCATATAATCATTCTGAATGTAAAGCAAGCAAAAATCAAAGAAAACTTATAAAAACAAGTTAAGGAAGAAAAAGAATATGATTCTGACATATATAATAATATATATAATAATATTTAATATAATTGATAAAATAAATAAAAATAATATAAATAAAGAATTTTAGCTTTGATATTGAAAAATATCAGATAATTCATAAAATACTAAAAAAGAAAATTAATTTGTATTGGTCTTCAGTTAAAATAAATATTAAAATATATTAAGCAAATATCTGCATAATTTAGTAGTAATCATTATGTTAAAATTGTTGCATATTAATTTTTTCCTAATTTATTCTCTCAGAGCTTTAGTAGAAAAAAATTAAATTTTAAACAAAAAAAAATAATTAAATCATATACTCATTTGTATGAAAAAATTGATTGATCAAGTATATACTATAACAAAATATATTTATTCTACTATTATAATACTATAAAAAAACTTTTTGATGTTATATTCTATTCTAATAAATGTTTTATTTATTCTTAAATAAAAATAATATAATAAATGCAAAAGTTTATACTAAAATTACTAAATATAGAAATTTATGTAATAAATGTTTTTTATCTAATATAACAAACTATTATATAACAAATAGCTTATTCTTTAGTATAAGAAAACAATCTTTTAAGACAATAACTTTAAAAATTTTTATAACTATTCATTAAAACAAGCTTTATTAAGAAAAATTTATGCAAATTTTTCTTAATATTGCTTATTTATAATTTTAATCTTACTAATTTAAAGTATATTTACTAGAAATATGCTCAATAATAAATCTGAAACCAATTAGTAGTAAATCCATAGATTATTATTACTAATTAGGCTATAAAAAAAGCTTTAAGGATATGCTAATATTTACTGGCCTATATAAAGTTATAAATAATGCAATTAAATGAAAATGAAAAACAAATTCAAAAGAAATTTAAAATATAGTTTATTAGTTTTTTAGTTTTTTAACTATATTAAATGGAATTAGTTTAAGAGCTTTAAGTATAATTTAGAAGATCAAACAATTAGTCATTTTAATAGTATAATTATTTTGCTATTTAAAATTATATTAATAGTTTTCAAATTTTTAGTGATATATAATTTATTTATTTTATAGATAATTAACAAGAAATAATAAAGATTATTTAATCTAAAGCTATATTATAAAATGTAATTTAAGTTTAAAGACTAATTAAAATTATTAATTATAATTAAGAATACTTATTTAAATCTCTTCAAAATTTATAATTAGTATTAACAAAATTTTAAATATGAGTTTAATATAGTTTGTTATAGCTTTTACATTTTTAGCATTTATTATAATAGTTTCATTATTTTAGCATTTCATCATATTTTAGTATAATTTATTATAAGATTTTAATATATTTAATCAAATTTTAACATTTTAGCATTTTAACAAATGAAAAAACTTTAGTTTTCTAGTATTCTTAATTATAATAAACCAATTTGTGTGATGACTAATAATATAAAAATAAATCATGATTAAAATACTTTTTTAATCTTAATTGTATTTAATTAAGACTCTGAAAATTTAATTCATTTTAGAATATAAATCCAAAAATATCAATCTAAACTGATCTGAAATGAAACATTTTAGGTTAATCTGAAATTAAGATTATTAAATACTAATAAAATCTCTCTGTTAGTTCAAATATAGCTTTATTAGAAAAATTCACACCCGAAATATTAAAAGTGACTTTTATTATAAAATATAATAATAAAGTAATCTTAAAATTGTCAAACAACTTTTATTATAAAAAATAATTTTAAAAGTTGCTTCTAAAAGTTCAAATGTAATGATAAAAGCTACCTCTAATAGTTTAAATATAACTTTATTAAAAAACAGTTCATCTGAAGTATCAGAAGTAATTGTTATTATTATTTTTCCTAGTACTAATATTTCAGTGTGATTTTTTTTTATAATAAATATCATACTAGAACTGTCAAAGGCAACTTCATTAGTATTTTTCCTAATAAAATCACCTCTGACAATTTGAATTTGATTTTATTAGATTTTTTAAATCACTTTTGACAATTCAGATGTGACTCATTAGTTATTATTCTAATAAAAAACATCTTAAAATTCAAAGGCATTTATTATTAACTGAAATTTTAGATCAGTTCAGATTTTTTTCAGTTCAGTTTGAATTATAAGAATTATAATTAAAAAAAAATCTGAACTGATCTGAAACTTTTTGGATTGATTTTTTTATAATCCAACTAAAAATACTGAATTGAACTGAAAATTTTTCAGATTGATCCGATTTATTCAAAGCTTTAATTATGACGATAAACTGAGTTTTTTATAACATTTATTTTCAAATTGTTATCATTAAATATAAAGCTTAGTTATTTTACATTTCTGATTATTAATACATGTCCAGAATGTAAATTATTATGTATTATTCCATTATAGCAAGGTTATTAACAATGATATTTTTTTGCCCTTTCATAATATTTATAATATTCCATTCTCAAATCAAATATTCTCATAAACTGTCATCTGTTATATATTGAATTAATTACAATAGTTTTTTGTCTTTATATCCATTAAAATCAATGAATTCTCATACATTTGTCACTTAAATAAAACGATATGAAATTTAAGAAAATAAATTTTGCATTCCTTCTATGCTCGATGAATTCTCGTATCATTTCTTCATCATAATTATTGCTCTTAACCCACTTTAGATGAAAATTGAAAGAGGTAGGTTAGGAATGTCACATTTTTCTTTGGACATTAATTAATTTTTTTTTATTATACTAAAAATAATCATTCTTTTACCATCCTTCCAATTTATAAACAACATTTGGCCAACATTTCTCAAATACATTATATTCTAAATATGAATTGCATTTCTTTATGTATCTTGGAAATTTTCATCTATAAATTTATCTGCACTAATTCCAATTCGAATATTCAATTTATTTGGGACAGCAGTCATAATAACTTTAGTATAATATTACACAACGGGAGAAAAATTCTTATATTCTAAAATTTTTTTACAATATTATATGGTGGTAAATTTTGTGTAATGAATGACAGCATATAGCGGGCCAAAGATATTGTGCAATTTAATAGATTCAGAAACAACATGATTGTATTGTTCATTACATTATTTCAAGATGTTAATTAATTAAATTGCAAATGTTAGTTCAACAGTATAATAAATAATAATTTTTTATTTCTTACTAGTTTCATTTATGAAACTGAATTGAAGTGTGTTTAGTAATTTTAATGAAATAATTGTTTATGTGTTCTAAAAATTTAGATATTCTCATTTAATTTTTACAAGATTTTCATTGAGAAATTAAGCGATGTTTGAGTTATCAAAAAAACCCGTCATTTTTTATGGAACATATTTTTTAATGAGTCGTTTGCTATTAAAATCGAGTTTCGTAATAAAAAAAAAATAAAAATAAAAAATTAGTTTTAAATGTTAAAAATAGACAGGCATTAAATCTATAATAGAAAATCTAAAATTATAAAATTAATAAGATTAAGAAATCTGGGATCCGATCTTGGTTGAATGGCCAAGACATCATTGTTAGAACTGACGTATTTTGTCACGTTTATGAGTTCACGTCATATTTAGCAATATAATTTCTAAACGTACCATCATAGTAAAAATATAATGATAAGAATATTATAATGAGGAACATTATATAATTAATTATCATACATTTGTTAGAATTTGTAACGTCGTTTTCGAGTTATAAACTCTTTCTTTTAAACGACCCTTTGGTCATTCTTATTCTTGGAATGTTCTTCATATAAAAAAAAAAATAAAAAAATATGTAACGGTTAACAATGTTTAAAACAAAACGAAGTACCATAAGTATACATACATTTAATGTAGAAATCATGAAATATTGACGGTTGATTAAACGAACTCAACTATAATTAAAAGACGTTACTTAGAAAATGTATATCTTTCTTTTTTTTAGAAAAAAAAAAAGTACTTACGTTTCTTTGTCATTATTATCAGTGTATGATGAATAGTAATTTTCATATTTTTTATTTTTTTATTTTTTGAAAATTTTATAAAGTCGGCAGTTATTTATATTTCTTTGAAGAATTGTATGTGTCACCTCCTATTTTCGTAGAGTGTTTTAATATATATAGTATTTAAGCGATAAATAAGAATTAACGACTTTATTCAAATGTCAATTACAACAAAGAATTTTAAAAAATAGAAAGAAAATAATTTTATTAAATGAATTATAAAAAGGGTCAAACAATTCGCTTTGTGAAAAGAATAATTCCTATCGAAAATGCCAATTTGGCACATCATATTCATAGTAAATGTATTAAATTATCACATGCAATGCGTCCAATCGGCCCATATGTTTATGCGATTTCTCCTTCTCATGACTTTATAAAGAATCAATCCTCCTCTTAAAAATATCAATCAATCGCAGCTGATGCACGGATAGACAAATTAATTTGATCCTGATGTCAGAAATGGCAGAAATGACATTTCGTTCAGATCTGACAGATAGGCCAGAAAGGCCGATTCAGAAACATTGCCTTAGGCGTCGCTAATTTCGAGAATTTCCATTCTTAATACATTTCAAGCTGATAAATGAAATGAACCAAATTTCGTATAATAATACAATTTGTATTTTAACGTTAAATGTGCAACAATACAATAAAAATGAATAATTAATATTTGGTGTTGAAATTTATTTTATTTTTTGTCAAAAAAAAGTATATATAAATTTAAATAATTCGATATAGTCATATAATATTATAGATTTTTGCAGAATCCATTTACTTTCATGTACCGCGCACAATACACGAACACATTTTTTTAGGATCATAATAATAAATTAAATATAAATATGTGAAAATTGATTGAAGTATGTTAACAAAAATACGTAAATGATCATATTTTCACTTTGAAAAACTTTTCTTATTTTCAGGAAAAATAGAATTTATCTTTTCTAAATAAATGAGGATCGAACAAATTAATAATCAACATTCAAACAATTATTTAAATTTATTCAGACAACTATTGATGATGTACTGCGAATTTCTTGATCATGTAGAGTATTAAAATTTTACTGTTTCTATCAAAAATAATAAATTCGTTTCTTTATAAATTTTGGGTACAAAATATTTCATTAATAACTCAAAAAAGGAACCTAATGAGATAAAAATTTAAAATATTCGAACATGCAACATGAAAGGACCGCTAAAAAGCCTTAAAAAGAAAATAGTTAAAAAAAATACCAATTAGAAAATCCAATATCAATAAAAAAGGATGTCAGTCAAAATTGGACTATTTTTTAATTATTTATTAAATTCCATACCCGTTCACTTTTCGCTTTCAATGATGATGAGGCTTCCGAAGATATCCTTTCAAACTGTATCAATACATTTGTTACTTTTAATATTTAATCTCCGTCGATAGCACCTTATGAAGAGACAATCACGTGTAACAAAGAAGGTTTAGTTAAATAAAACTAAATTTACGCTTTAATATTATATAATTTGACTGGGTTATACAAAATGATAAGAGACGGATCCCAATCTCTACTTATTTATCTAGATAGACTATGACTGTCTCACAAACATTTTGAAATGGTACAATGACGGCTCGGCTATATCGGTTAAAAACCGATGTAATCGCATATTTACTTTATCTTATTTAGATTGGCGGCGTTAGGCTTAGTTCTGTTTTATAATGTGTAATCAAGATTTTTGAGATAGAAACTCGAAGAATAAAGTAGAACCATATTGCGTGCTTAATGCGTCATTTTGAGTCATAAAAGTACCTGACACTGAATTTTAAATTAAACTATTTGAAAAAAAAATATTTCTTATAAAGAGGACAACTTTATCCTTTACACTTTTTTTTAAAAAAAATATATATCTGATGAAATGAGTAAGTTTTAATAAGTCACAGAGTCAAAGAATCACAGAGTCAACAGAGTCAAAGCGTCAAATTCCTTGAATAACTATAATTAACCGCTAACATTTCTTTTTTCATTATAGGTAACCAGTGTGCAATTATTGATCAGAATCGTAGGTGTGAGAATCCTAAAATATGTCTGTGTGGAGGTTGCAATATGCACTGTAACTGTATGTATTCTTCTATTTTTTCACGATGAATCTGTGACTCTGTGACGTGACTCTGACTCAAGAATAAATAATAAAATGCGCGTGGCACTTCGGCATAACTTTAACTGTTCCTATACTATACTATTCAGAATATGTGGCTGAAAATAAATATATACCTGTATTATTTATAATGGGAAATAATGTTCACATGATTTTATTTGATATATGCAAAATAATTTGAGAAATTTTTTTTTTTGTTTGTAATTATGCACATAATGATCGATTATAAACTACGTTCATAGTTTTATATAGAAAAAAAATGTCATTGTGAGAAGTCTTAGTTAAAGTATAAAAAAATATATAAAACTTTAAATGTATCAATACAGTTTGTAATATGGGAGCTGTGCTATTAAAAATGGGTTACAAACCTTTCAACAAAAAATGAGATTTTTGAATTGGTTAGATTTTAGAGGATAAAAGCAAGCAATTAGGTCGGCAAAAATGCTTGAATTTCCGTGTAACGTCAATCAAAAATTTAAAATTAGATTTTATTGACATATATTAATAGTTAAATAATAGCAGTTACGAAATTGATGTAATAGTAAAATTTTAGATATTTTATAGTTAAATTATTTTTAAAATAATTTAATATTATAAAAACGATTATTATAATAAAATGTGATATATATAAAATTATTGTATCGCCTTAATATTTTTTTTTTAAGTGCGGTAGTTTCGCATTGTATAGCCTCATTAAATCATTTATTTTTAGTGCAATTTTTTATGTTTATTGTGGCTTAACATTTTTTTGATCATCAATTACCGCTTTTAATAGATCAGCTCCCATATATTTTTTTAAAAAAAAAAATTATTTTCATTAAATATTACTAAATTTTTGCAAAATAGTTTAGTTCCCTTTTTTTTCATTTAATGTAGAAATGAAGGGTAAATTATGCATGTATGTAAATTTCACAGCATTGGTCATGAAGTCGTACAAATGATCAGATGAACAATTAAAGTAAATATTTAAGTTGCGACAATTTTAATTTTTTTTTTCTTCATTAAACTTCTAAAACATGATAGCAGGAATTTATCAAATACCGGAAATTACTCCATCGTTGTTAATTGACCTACTTAACGTAATGAAATTTCTTACATCTATTAAAATTAAGTTGTTGCTTTATTTATTTAATTTAATTTATTTTATTTTTTGTGATGCATACAGGAGCTAGGCGATTTTAATAGAAAAGTTGCCATCACCATAAAAAATCTATCTCCAAATGTAATTTTGGAGAATCCTGAAGTTTATATTGACTCTGGAACATCTAATTATGGTCTTCCCATGAATACACTATCAGGTGATGAAGGGTTGGTTTGGGGTGCCCGCAAGGTTTCTGGTTATACCGGAGGGACTGTAGGAGTTCTTGTGTATCATATCCAAGGTCGAAATGAAAGTTTGGCCTTTATGTGGTGCGTTCCATTCAACTACGCTATTTACTCAAATTGGTGGAATTTAAAGGTTTTTAAAGGTCGTGTCAGAGCTAACCAAGGTATGAATTCTAGGTTTTTGCTTATTTAACTTAACTTATCATCTCATATCGATACTTATCTTTATGTCTTTGTTCTAGCTTTATATGAAAAGATGTACACTGACCTCCCCCATGAAGGAGATAACAATATTTATCGCGGAATTTTAAATTCCGACCTTTTATACTCGGGATCCATGGGAAACTCCGGAACACCTACTATTGAAGTTGAAATCATTAATTATTCAACTATTAGTACAACTTCTTCTACTTCTGTTAGCGAGAAACAAAGTTATTAGGTTTATAATTTTGAGTTTGAATATTTTTTTTTGGATAATCGTAACCTTTTTTTTTAGTAAAAATATATATATATATATAAATTTTAAAATTTGCTCTTTTCGGGAATTTTTAAAGTATTAGATTTGTCACGTGAAAGTTATTGGAGTTGCGACAACAATTTCATTATACGAATTTAACTTCTCATTTCCTTGATTCTCTTCACCATCTTCTTAATGTTGAGCTTCAGATCAGAATCAATCACAATGATTTCTTTATTATCAGGCTACATTTTTTTTACGCTACAGCGACTTATTTTGGGTTCAAAGAGGGTATTTGATTTCTAGTTTGCGTTATACTAATTCATTAAGAAAAAAAAATATTTAATTAATTTTAAATAAAATTTTGATATATATCAGTACCTTTTTACCTTTTATTGATAAGAACAATCAAACACTTACAAAATACCATAAAATACAACTAGAAATTCTAATGGTATGATCGGAAAAATCATGACCGGCTGACCGACCGAATTCTGATTGGGCCAGTTGACCAAAATTTTAATTAAATAAAAAATCATCAATCAAAAGTGTTTTGTTTTTTTTATTTAATTATTTTATATAAGTTAAAAAATTTTTTGAAGTTCGCGATGTCATAAATAAATATATAAATATATAAATATATATAAAAGTATATAAAATGCTTTTATATAAGTAGTTTTACAAGTGCTATGTATGAATAATAAGATAAAGTTTTAAATTGTCCTGCAATCAAATTATAAATGATCGGTCATTGAAATTGGACATTGAATGTGATTTACGTCTAAAAATATCATTAAATTTTTAAAGCTTCAATGAGCGTGAGGTGAGTTAGTGTTCTACTATACTCGAAAACTGTACGTATCATTATTTAATTATTTAAAAAATATATTTTTTTAATCTTCACTATAATATCAATCTTTCAGATGACTTCTTCTATCAGATCAAATATTTCTTCAAAGGTAAAAAATGTAGAAGAATAATAAAAGTGATTTTGAAGATTTATATATTTTGTTGATTGAAACAATCACCTAAAACAAAAAGTAAAGTTTAATTGTGACAAATTTATGAAAAAATTAAAGCTAAATACTTTTCAGTGATTTTCTTTTAATACGATTCTTTTTTTTGATTACTAACAGTAACGTATTATATCGAATAGTTAGTTGTAAACATATCGATCGATAAAAACTAGCTATAGTTGTGAAAAAATAAGATTTTTTTTTATAATTTTATAATTCATTTTAATTTTTTTTTTTTTTAGATGACATGTTAATAAATAAATAGTGATTTGAGACGATAAAAAGATAAAAAAATAAATCAGAAGACACCAAATCAATCTTTAATTATTACATTAAAATGCAAAGTAGTATAATCACAGATAATTAAATTACTTAAATTATTATGAATAAAATTTTTTAATAAAAAAAAAACGCCAACAATTGAAGCAAATAAAAATCAAAATTATATTTTCAGTTAAAAATGGAATGTTTTAATAAATTCTACATTTTTGTAGATGTATCGTAAGCTTGTTTAAGTGGAATTGATAATAAAGGGTCTTCGGCCGGAATTCTTCATGTCACATATATAAAAGCAAAATTATAAAATTTACATAATAATTCTCATTATTTATTGACTAATGAACTTAAAAAATTTATCAATTGATGTTTAACAAGAAATAAAGAATAAAAGTGCAATAATTATATAAATTTATTGAATAAACTAATCCAACTTTGATAACAAATATGAATATGCCCAATAAATACATAGTTTAATTCAACACTTTTTTGTTACCAGCACGTTTAGCATGAGATTTTTTTTAAATTTACTAATCTCGTAAAAAAATCACAATTCTTTCTTCTGTCTTTCTTTCTTTTGCATCGTCCCATATGTATGTCACTATTGATCTCTCAAATCTTTTTGAAATGTTCTCTGAAGGTTTAAATCTATAGGCGGAAACAAATGATAATAAAGTAATTATGCAAAAGGTCAAATAAAAAAAGTTTTCATAAACCAAATTCGGTTGCTAATTAAATATACACATATTTAGGAAAAAATATTTCCATTTGGCACCTGAAATAAAGCACTTATGTATTCTTTGAAATTTCATATTTTAGTTCACTTCTATTATTATATTGATCTAATGTAATCCCTCACGTATATTTAGGAATCATTATCCTTTCTCTTCGTAATATTTTCTTTTTTATTAAAAAAAATAATAGTTAAGTAACTGTCTTCTAAAATTATGACGTTAAAATTCATTCCTTCTATATTCTGTGGGTATATTGATTGAATCGGTCATACAACTATGGTTCATTATCTACTGTTATTAGCTGACCATGGTCTAGAGAAGAGCAATACCAATGTTAAAGGTTTCAAAATGCTCAAGATCTCTTGTTAATGACAAAGATAATCTTCTGCTGTGAAATTTACAGAGACAACCACGATTCGATTTCATTCTTGGATGCACAATACCTATTTCCGACTTAATGATCGTATTAGTTATTCTAGATAAAATTTTTGTATATCTTTATTTAGAATAAAGGAAATTGAACTATTCTCATAAAACCTATTACAGAGAACCGATTAAGGTAGTAATAGCTGGTTTGATTTTGTATTTATCTTCAGTCTCTATAAAAAATTTTATTATTACGAAATTTTTTTAAAAAATTAAAGGTTTGTATACTATCTTTTTCGTTTTAAATGCTTAATAATCTCGTTTTTACATGTACAAATTTAAACGTTACATTTTTTTTACACTCAAAAGCAAGTTTATATTAATCCGAACCAACGCACGCTCTCCCAAGCGTAAATGATACAATAAGATGATATCATAATTTCTTCATGATAATTTCATGATTAGTAATAAAGATTGCTAATCACTTGATCGATGCACTGTACTACCGGGCATTGCAAAAATGATCGAAGAAATCAAGAATGTCAATAAAAAAACGATTTGTATCGCTTTTTATTTGATAAATTTATGCAACGCTCGGGTTTTGTTGCGCCAAATCTGATCATCGGACGGATCTGTTGGAAACTCAGTGGACTGATAGATAATATATGTCAAATGACCACTTTTGACAACAGGGATCAATTAAAATGTATATTCGCATTCAGCCGCATTAACATTGATATTTTTAAGTAATGCCGTAACAAAGTCATGGGAAGGAAATTTTATTATAAAAATGCTTCGTTTTGCTCTTAGTTTACTATCGGATTTGAATTAGATAGTTCTATTCTCAAAAGGCCTATTACAAAGTGCCGACAAAGGCAGTAATAGTTGCATTTATTGTATTTATTTGTCATTTATTTAATAAACTTATTTCTATTTCATCCTTTAATAAAACTCTTCTTTTTTTTGTAAGGTTGGCGTTGGCTTTTGTTTGCGTAGTCCCTTTTTGGTCAATATTTCAGTTTAGAAGCTTTAATAAATTTACGTTATTATTGCGTAATATTGAGTCTTTAACGTTAAATTTTAGGAATATTTCTTATAAAAAGACAAATTTATTCTCTTTAAATATTTTTTTAAAAAAATATATTTGTTGAAATGTGTAAGTTTTAATAAGTCAGAAATCACAGATTCAACAGAGTCACAACGTTTTATTCCTTGAATAAATATAATTGGCAGCTAACTTTTCTTTTTTCATTAAATGTGACCAAAAGTACAAAATGTGGAAAGTGTAAAGGTATGTATAATAATTCAATTTTTTCACAATGAATGACTTAAGATTGTCACATGATCTGTTGTGTGTTAAGAAATTAATAAAAATTTGATCTCCCATTTTAAACAACTAGATATGTCAAGTTTTTTATAACTCTGACATTTCAGGTAATTTAATATTATGTTGTACGAATTTTTGTACAAATATTGATAATGATTTTTTTTTTATAGCTAAGAAATTTTTAATCCCGAAACGAAAATTTATTACTTCATATTTTGTATTTGTCCTGGATATTAGGGGAACGACTACAACTCGGGAATACAATTTCTATTGAACAAACATGTTTATAAGGGATAATTGTCAAATCTTTTAAAACTGTGACACTATGAAGCTCAAATTTTCTTTCTGTAACGTTGATTTTGTTCTTAAATTTTATTAGAACACAAGCATGTTTGCGACAACCTTTTATACGGATTATGAATTAACGTGTAAAAATTCAAGCAATTCAATCATACTCATACGGTACGACTTTAATAACGTTGAGCTATATAACCCCTCAAGAAGAGGAATGAATGTTATTCGACTTATTCATCTGAACGGATCAGGTACCGCCTTTGATGCACCCGTTCGTTGCGATGATTTATTAGATTGTCCAGCATTACCGTATCCTTTATGGAGCAACATTATCTTTATGACCTACCTATATGACAAATGATTATTTCCAGGTATGATGCTGGTTTCATTTAATTCATATCTAATTCTCACATATGGGAGATATGATATTAAAACTCATGTTCGGATCATATGATTTACTATATCTCGTAACCTAATTTTAATAGCATATGACCCATATTCCGGAACTTTCTTATCTAGTGAAATACCGACAGACATTAAAGGTTACGGTCTGGCACATTTGACTCGGTTGCCTGTAATGGGAGTGAGTCTCTACCGTCCAAGCCATAATAGCATAAGGTTACGAATTGGAAAAGTTACTGTTATATTAAATGTAAATATCTCTTTTATTAAATAGATTCATGCAACCTGGATCAGCAGATTTTAGTGAATCAACACTTATATATCAAACATCCACCCATTCATTTTTTCTAATATAACTAGCTGCTATACGGCAAAAGGGTACAGTTGCATTTATCGTGTTTCTTTGGCATACTTTTATGAATATTTACTTATTTCCTTCCTTTCAAGCGGTTCTGTGTCAGATGTTGAGAAAATAGTTTCTCAAGTGTCACGAAGTCCTTGACGGTGACATTAGATGTTTCACTGAAGGGCAGATGCAAGAACTTTATTGGACACGTATCTTTGAGCAACGGAACCAACCATTGTAAGCGACGCAAGCATGCCGACGCGATCGTTAAATAAATATGGCGATTCCCCAAACAACACTTTATACGTAATAATAATATCTTTACTTATCTATTTGAAAGCTCTACACAAGTTTTTGATAGATGGTATGCATTCTTAATTTTTAGAATGATCAATTCACAGAAATTTTATTTCTTAGATAACGGATTCAGTATTGACTCCGTTCAACAACGTTGCAATCATCGGTTGGCCCAGAGTTACTAATATAACAATTACTTTCCGTCAAGTACGTCTTTACGACAAAAACTCTACAACTTCCAACGGATCCTCTTTTTCAACAAACATTTCCAGCGCAGACGCAATATTGCTCATTGCTCAGTGACAATAAGACTGTATCTTTCCAAGTTCTCTCAAGCACGTTTAATTCTCCGAGGCCACTT